CACATATTATTTTATCATATGCTTATTGTGTTACTGTCTTATGATACACTAATACAATTTATTTAACCAGTCAGCTCACAGATATACATTGAATTTACTTCCACCTTATTTTTAACTAATATAAACACTACTATGTTGATAAATACACTTATATATAATTATATGTAATGATTCCCTGTGGATATTCATTGGAACAGATGATAATGGCCTGAATGAAGGTAATGGCAGTGGGATTAGAAAGGCAAAGAGGGATCAGAGAAAATTTAGAAGGTAGAATTAATAGAGTCAAGTGATCGACTGTATAGTTGAATGATATCAGGAAAACCAAAATAATTACCTCCTAACATTATGCTGTTGCTCTGTTTTTGTCCACTCATTTGATCTATAATGTTTATTGCTTTCATGGGAAGGAAGATGCAATCAAGAATAGAATAAACAGAGGATTTGAAGTGACGGTTAGATTATTTTTTAAACTTATAGCAAGTGTAATGAGCTCTAAACAAATTGGTCTGGTTTGGAAGAGATAGAATCGTAAGAAAGAAATGGTTTTACTTTTAATTTCTAAAGTGCATGGCCAGAAATATTAACCTAATCCTAGAGACCTGGATCATAGAATTTATCATAGTTAACTATCAAACAGAGAAGACTTTACGATACGATCTGAAGGTAGTCATCCATCATATAGAACACCATGAAACTTTCCAGACTGGGGTCAGTGAAGAGACTAGTGTCCTAGAGAGAGAAGATAAAATTGAATATAGGAAAATATTCCTTATTTGACTCCTAGTTTTACACTAGTGGTCACTAGTGTCCTAGAGAGAGAAGAGAAAATTGAATATAGGCAAACATTCCCTATTTCACTGCTAGTTTTACAACCTCTGTGGGAGGGAGTGAAAATCAGAGATGTGTAATTCCACCTTCATTATACACTAAATTTTCATACATTCTAGAATATTCTAGTCCATTTTAACATTGTAGATACAATAGTAATAACTATTGTTCTAGATTTTCTTTTCCTTTTCAGTGAGTGAATTAAGAACCTTGAAAACTGGAATCTTTTTTTCATGGGGCTTATCCAGGGGTAGCATAGGGCATAGTCTTTTTTTGTTTTTTCTAAGTTTCATTCAGACTTTAGTTTTTCTTCTTTTGTCTTTATGCAGATAATCAAATCTTGATCCTTAGCAGATAGGCTCAATTATTCACTTACTCAGTCAACAAATACATTAAATACCTTCCATATGGAAAGCAAATTATTTTAAGTTGTAAAATTAGTTTCAGCTACATTTTATTGTATTGTATTTTTTTAATGTTAATTGAACACATCAAGGCTTTTATGCTGGTTGGAGCATATGCTTCACACAGATCTCACTTGGTATTTTAGGATTGTAATTAGAAATAAAGCAGGCCAGGCGCAGTGACTCACGCCTGTAATCCTCTCACTTTGGGAGGCTGAGGCAGGTGGATCACCTGAGGTCAGGAGTTTGAGACCTGCCTGGCCAACATGGCGAAACTCCATCTCTACTAAAAATACAAAAATTAGCCAGGCGTGGTGGCACATGCCTATAATCTCAGCTGCTTGGGAGGCTGAGGCAGGAGAATTGCTTGAACCTGGGAGGTTGCAGTAAGCCAAGATCGCACCACTGCACTCCAACCTAGGTGGCAGCGAGACTTTTAAACAAACTACAACAACAAAAAACAAAGCACACACACACACAAACACACCTACCCACAAGCCTGTAAGAAATATTGATGATGGAGCTAAAGAAACTGTGCAAAGAAACAGTTCAGAAAGACTGTCATGGCACATCTTTTCAAAATCATTGACTAAACACACCAAGAGGGAAAAAAAAGTATGATTTCTTTGTTAGTGCTTCTAATATCTTTCCCGAGAATTAAAGTGGAACAGAGAATCCGGTGAAATTTGGTGCTTTGCATCATTAGTAAGCTCATATCTGCAAGCTAATCATGTGTGATGAGACTAAAATGTAAAAGCATTTGAATCAATAGCTCTTTCAGATGTTTTTCTGATAAAATTGCTTCATTTACTTTCCTAACTAATTTATATAAGTGAAAAGATTAAGAGAAAAACTTGTAGTAGGAGTAACAAGATCCAAATAATGTATTGAACTTCATTGTTTTAGTTGGCATCTTTGCAAGCCTTTTAATAATCTGATCTCAGAAACATCTATCTTAGAAAGGGGTATAATTTCTGGCTTCATTTACTTGAAAATAAGTTAGGATCATAAGCAGAAGTTAGGTTACTTCTACCTGGAAATTAATCAGAAATTTGATTTTGCCCTTTGGTGTTGCTTTCCTGCCCCCAGACCTCAACACACCTTCTGTCATACAATCCTAAAGCTCCCTTTCTTGCATCGTGGCAGTTTAAAGGAATTTGAAGTTGTGGATTTCCATATTTACATAATTATATACTGAATATATAATATAATAGGGTAGGGTAAAGTGTTTTTAAAAGATGTGACATCTTAAAGAAAATCCACAGATATCATAAGTGATTCTAATTTATTGGCAAATTTCAGGCTATGTTCTTAGTCATATTTCTGCTAGAAGAAACCTACTTTCCATTTTGTGTTTTCTCATTTGCATTACTGCAAAGTTATTCATGCATATGAAAAGGATATTATTCATCTCCATATTCCTTTCTCTCCTTATTCCAAACCCAATGGGTTCATGAGTTATACACAAAGAAACACGCTGCTATATCTATATGTTTATACGTAGATATCTATGTGATTCAAATTTGGTATTACAGCTGGATAGCAACCCCAAGTGATAGCATTATGTGCTACATGTGTCTTATTACATCATTAATGACATACCAAAATTGTCAAATATGTTGAAATCCAATAATTGTAACTGACAAGCTTTAGCATGATTTGCCTGCATTGGGAATGAAAAAGAAATAGAGGAATATATTTCTGAATTCTTCCTCAAAGTGCATATGGATGTATGATAAGCTCTTGTTTCTTACCTGCTGATATTTTTAGTGAGATGTTGTTTTCACAGTATTCAAGGTAACTGGTTTCTGAAGTTTTTATGTGCATAAAGCCATATGATCTCCTAAATTGAAATTCCAGTGGTATTCCAGAAAGAACTATGAAGGTGAACTGGCAAGAAGAAAAATGACCAACCTGACAGGGCTTTTCCCTTTCTCTAGCATTTGAATCTTCTTATCTCAATATCCCAAGGAAATCATTTCACTGGAAAGTTTAGGCAGAATCCACAGAAAAAAAATTTCTCTTTCCCACTCTCCAGTTCTCCTACCCCTTAGAAAAGCAAATGGTATTGCTTCAATTCCTGAAAGTTTTCCTTAATATATCTTGGCATTTGCAAGGCAGAGGAAAATAGGGTTGACAGTGAATTTCATGGACACAGACCTCATTCATGACAATGATGAGGTAGTCAAGAATTCTCACCCTTTGTGTCCTGCTTTATCTGTATTTAGGGATGGCATGAAGGAGAAGAAAGAGGAAGCTTATACTTTTCTCTTTAAAATTAATTCCCATTTAGCCATTAAAGAGTGGAATCGTTTTTAAGCCCAGAAGACATTGTAATTGCATTTTCCTTTTCAATAATTGTAGCAGATATTAAAGTGAATAGACAATGGCAGTCACATACAGAATAACCTGGTTTCCTAGATAGACCCACTTGTCGGAGATCAAACGGCTACAGCACATTTAGGGTTACACTCTCTTTCCCTTCCTCCTTATTCTCAACTGCAGTGGAGCTTTTTCCAAAGTTGCCATGGTAACACTATATCTGGCTGCTAGCTCTGTCGTAAGTTATTGAACTGAGACTGGCTTTTGGTTTAGCAGATAATTAGGTTCTGTCTCACAGGTTCATTTTCCTGTGACTGGGACGTGAATATGACCTACAGCTGGCCTCAATTTCAGTGTCACAGACAAAACTTTAACCCTTCCAAGCTCCTCTGGCACACTCCTGAGCACTGCTTGTGTGGTAGAGGAAGTCCAGTGTAGCTCACTCATACCTTGGGGAGGATTACCAAGCCCTCATTTTATTTTTTATCTTTAGCATAACACTAAAGAAAATATAGTTAAGGTTGTACACATAGAGTATTTTCAAAATTAAAAATATAACAACAACGTGATATATAGTTATATATTTTATATATACTACACGAAACTTTTTGCAGTCATATTATTTCCTTGATTCTCTAATAATTTTTAAGTCACACTGAAATTTCATTTGTTATAATTAGGAATCCACAGAATTTCAATTTCAAAACCTCTATTCTCAGAAATATTAGGTGGGTATTTTTATTCTCAGCTTTAAGAACTGTTTGCCAGTTCATTTACACCCCTCTCTCTACTCTTATATACCCTGAATTATAGATGACATTAAAAGGTTCCATTGGAGTCACAGGCAGACCCATGTGACAGGGAACACCGCTACCACTCTACTAAATGCCAAAATGTTCATTCCCAGGGCTTAAATCTTGCTGGTTTGGAAAACCAGCTACTTTTGAATGTTTCATTTGGAAGATTTCAATCAGTTAAATAGCTGCCCTTTGTTTAAGACAAAGAAAGAAACATAACTTTGGGAACAGATATTGAATTCACAATATCCATGGCAACACAGAGAGCTGTGGAATTACTAAGAGAAGATGTACCTTTGTATGTCAAACAATGGGAAAGACCTTCAAGGAAATCAGTTTAAAATTTTTAGTGTATGTCGCGTAGAAGCTTAACATGAACAGGTAAGAAAGGAATAGGGAGAGTTGAGTTTACCAGAATTAAAACATGAGTTAAAGGAATTCCATACCTTAATTGGCTGAAGGATCACCTAACCATGTTAATAGTGAGAAGTAAAATTTGTGAAAGGGAAGATTAGAAGATTCAACAATCGCATATTGGACTTACGATGTGTGTGTGTGTGCGCGTGTGTGTGCGCACGTGCGCGTGCACATGCCCCTCATAGACTGTATTCTATTTTAATCCATGCCTTTCATTCTCAAACTCTAGATGACAAGAGCACCTCAAAGGCAGCAGCCTCTAGGAGCAGCCATGGTCCCAGAGTTGTCCCACGGATGCAGAAAACGTAATGGAGGAGTCTGAGGTCAGAATGGGAAAAGGTTTTAAAAAGTAAAAAGGGTAGCTAATATGTGAGGAACCGATTGCTGTGCATTATTTTCCACTGAACAGACCTTCTTTTAACTTCTAATCTCAAGCACAGAGCAGCTGTTGTTTTCAATATTAAAGATCAGTGTTTGTTGAATGAATGTGTAAATTCTTTCCCAATCTCTGTTCCATGAAGTAAGAACTAAGTTAGCATTCAATCATAAAGAGGACATAGAAAGTCTGCAGGCATTTTTGATCAAAAATCCTTTTAACTGTCTTCTCATGGTTCCCGGTAACACCTAAGCCCAAAAAACTCAGGTCATTTCTTGCCTGTACTGTTGCAATAGCCTCATAATAACTGGTCTTCTCCTTTATCAACCACAGTAGTCTCCACGACATAAAGAAGAGAGGGTGCTACAGTGTAAATTATTTCAAATTGGCACCCTCCTTGTAATTTCCCAGTGGTTTTTCCTGTCATAAGAATAACATGCAAAACTCCTTGCCTGCGAAGCCAGATATGACCTTGCCCCTGTCTACCTTACTGCCATCATCTCTCATGACTCTTCCCCTTTTTCACTCTCCATCTTGCCTTTTCCCAGCCATGCCTGCTAGTAAGCCTTAGCCTATGGTCTCTCTGCCAGGGATGCATGACTGGCTCCTTTACTTTATTCTGATCTCTCTGCTCAAATGTCATCTTTTTAGAGATACCTTTCCTAAACATCTTTAAAAGCACCCCATTCACTGTGGAACACCTTTCTTGCTTTAAGTTTTCTTCATAGTGCTTATCACTTCCTGATATTATATTAGACAACAAGCAAATAAATGTATGCCTATATGCTGTTCCCACTAAAACATAAGCTCCGTTTGAACAGGAGCCTTGATTATTCATGAGTATACCCCCAGTGCCCAGAACCTAGTAGGGCTTTAATAAATATTAGGGCTTTAATAAATATTAGATTAATTTGTTGAATGAAAAAATGAATGAATAATTGAATAAAGATATCCAGGTAGAGTGTCTGGGCAGCCCAACTTATGTGAAGCCAGTATAAGAATATTTCTGTGACAAAATGAATGCAATTATTCCTCTAAATGATGAAATTGCACGAGTCCACGAGGATAAAATTAAGCACGTAGTTTAGATTTCTGCTAGTCTCTTCTTCAGATTGAGGAAAAGCAAAGAAATTGAGCTTATTGCCACCTCATTCTTACATGAACTAAATCCAGAATAAAACATCATTTATATACCAAACACATGCCTACCTCAGCCACTCATGGAATACTTTATCTTTAAAGGGACAGATAGTAAATATTTTTGGCTTTGGGGACCGTACAGTCTGTGTCACCACTACTCAGCACTTCTGTTGAGGTGTGGAATCAGCCCTAGACAACACATAAACAAATAGGTGTGGCTCTGTTCCAATAAAATGTTATTTGTAAAACCAGGAAATCGGCAGATTTAGCCCACAGGCTGTAGTTTGCTGACCCTTGAATTAGAGAGTCTTCCCCAAATCCTCTTCCCAAGTTCTTGAAAGAATGCCCATAGGACCGTGGCTCCCTCACCTGGTTCTTTCAAGAAATTAGACAAATTCAGAGATGGTTGGAGGGTGGAATGCCTACCTGTGACTTCACTATTTAGCCTGATTTCTTTCCTTTTATCTCTTTAAAGTGAGTCAGGTCTTAATGTTAAACTGTCTCTAAAGTAGCAATAACTGGGCCATGTCAAATACTCCCAATGACAAAATTTCTTCTTGGAGAATGAATGAGGGTTGCATACAGCGGTGTGTTGGCAAATGTTTAGCAACTGGCTCTCTTACTGATTTCTGTAGTGTAAATTCTCCCATCCTGGCCATCTGAAACTACCAGTATGATGTCACTTAATGTACAGTTGGGAAAAGACAGTCTCTTGAATCAGTATGAGCTGGGTCCAACCCACTGCTGAACACTTATGTAAAAGCTACAATAGCTCTGCTCACTGCCATTGCAAAGTCTGGAGGAAAGAGTAGTGGGCTTGATAGGAGCAATTGGTTGGATAATCTTTTGCAATGCCAATAAATAATGAAAAAGTATATAAATATGCTGTATAGAAAGCTCTCAAGTTCAGTGTTTGGTTAAAATACATATTCAGTAAATGGTAGCTATTATCGTCTTAGTTTAAGTTACTGAAAGCATTAAAATTAAATGTGTAGCTACAGACTCAATCCAGTTTTAATGTCATTGTGTTAATAAGGCCTCTTAACATTGAAGCAACAAAGATAAAGGAATTTTTTTGTAGCTATTCACGATTCTGCCCAGTTCAAGGTAAAGATAGCAACAAAATACTCCAACCAGAATAAAAGAAGTCTCCGCTTGACTGCAGCTCTTCACAACACTTCACAAGGGTCAAGCTGTGTTAGTTTCCTTCAGTGTTAAACAGAATGCATCTTAGGAGACTAGTTCAACTATTGATTAAATAGTAGGTTCAAGTTGACTATAATCCCGACTAATACACTCTAAGACCAGGGATGGGCCAACAGAAGAATAAAGTTTTCCACTGAAGTTTCGAGGCAAACACTCAGATAGAAGTAGTAATATGGATGCCTTATATTATTTGGTCCCATACAATACTGTCCCAGCCCAGTTGTGCAAAACTGGTGGAATAAAAGGCAAAAATATTGACAACAGTTTCGGTAACTGGATTCCAAAATGGACGTCCATCTAAGAGAAATTAATGGAAAAAAAGTATATGGACCTTGAAAGACATTAATACACAGTTTAGTTTTAAACACTCAGTTTTTGTTAGAAAAGGCTAATATTTGCTGTTTTGAACACTACAAAAGTGCTTTTTGAACTATTTACTCGCAAACCTCCTCCACCCATTCCACTCCATCTATAATGCTTTCTGCACACCTATGAAAGGTATGACTTCGTGTTTGCTCTGTGAAGTAAAGTTAAAAAGGAAGCATTTCTTTTTACATTCTAGCTAATGTGGATATTTTTCTCACGCTTCTATTCGCACATAATTCAGGTACATTAGTTTTGAAGTTTTTAATCTGCTATGCATCCTGAGGGCTCTCTGTTCTAGATCAACGTTATCTGTGGAACAGCAGCCACGTCCTGGGCAGAAATATTTCTCCCTATTGTCCAAATATTACTGAATCGGTTGAGTTTTCTCTGTTTTCAATGAATTATTCCATATGTTTCTTTGCTACATTTTCTTTTGGCTTTCTGTTCACAGTAAATGATAGCTTTTGTTTTTAAAAACTTATGTTATGAAAATTCCAAATATATGCCGATTAGAGAGAATAGCATAATGAACCTCTATGTGCTTATCACACATATAGTTCAACTAATTAAATTATATCAATTTATGGCCAATCTGGTTTCATTTATTACATCATTCGCTCATTCCTAACTCCCTGGATTATTTTGAAGTGAACTCATACATCATATAATATCCATATATCAATAAATATCTCAGTATGCATCTTTAAAAAGACGGCACTGTTTTTTAAACCTCAATAGCATAATGACACCTACCAATATTTACAGTATTTCCTTAGTATTATCAAATTCCATAAGTCTGCAAGCTTCTGATTATCTCATTTTTTGTTTATACAGTTAATTTGTTTGAATGAAGACGGCATTTGATTGACATGTTTCTGAAGTCCCTTTTAATCTATAGGTTCCCCTCTCATTTAATCTTTTGCAACTTATTTATTGATGAAACTGGATTTTTTGTCCTTTATTGGTTCTCTCATTCTGAAATTTGCTGTAATGTCATTAACCGTGTTCTTCTTTCCTGTATTTTCTGCAAGCTTTGAGGTAGGCAAAAATATTTTAATCAGATTCCTTTTTTTTTTAATTTTAGCAAGATTTACTCATAAATAATATTGTATATGTTCACAAAAATAGAAATAAAAATTGAAGTAAAAAAAGAAATAACAGCAAAAGGACAGAAATTTTTAATAAATAATATTGTAATAAATCCTAACACAACATAGAGAACCTGACTTTACTGAAGTTAGTGGGAGGATATTTGTGATTTTAAAACTATATATTATGGTTATGTCATCTAGAAATCAAATATTCAAGCTCATATGTTAAAATTAGTCATCGTTACGTTTTTCCAAAATAAAAAATAAAACGAAACCAACCTTAACCATCAGTGATTCCATCAACTGAGCAAGTTTGAGTAGCATTACCCTGGTGAATATCGTACTATCGATTATTCTACTCTTTGTACCTGAAACTGGGTAACAGTATGAAGAACATCCTGAACAAATACAGGATACATATTTAGACCTTGTCCAATCTAGAGGAATACTTGGTTTTCATCAGAATGAAGAATGCGGAGTATTGTTTTAGAACCAGACTTCTTTGATGACCCTTAAGTAAACAAGGCATCAGAATTTTAGGGGGTTCTTGTGATGGAGCACAATGAGGCATTTTAGCTTACTCTAAGAAAATAGTTCATCCCTGTCAATATCCTGGGAAGCAGAGTTCAGATAAAACTATGAAGACACAATGTGAAATGTCAGTTGTCTTTGCAAAACGTAAGTGTATGGGAATGGGGGAAAAGTATGTAATTATTTATGGCTTTTCAAAAATGTATGGCTTTTAAAAAGCCATCTCTATAGTGCCTTTTTGATTCCTCTTCTGAAAAAATAAACCTGGAAAAATTAGTAGTCTTTAATTTATAGTTAGTTAGCACATTATGACAGAACTTTAATCTCATATCTCACTTGATAGAAATGAAATAATACGTTTTCCCATTATATAATTATTGAAGTTAATTAAATATAGTTAGTATTCCATTTACATTGATGCTTTTTGTTCAAATCTATGGTGTTATGTATAAATATGCCAGTTATTCAGTAAAACATCACTAAAATTAGACCTATATTGTTTTGAAACTGTTAGAGAATATCTTCTTCGAATTCTGAGAGCTGTATTATATTAGTTTAACTAGTTATCTTCACATTCTGAAGTTCCCCGAATCTATTTTAATTTTATATCAGGAATTGGAGAGATTTTTCGAGAAAAATGTTACTTGAATTCACCAAACGCAATGTGGGAATTTTGACCCACTTCTTGTACTTCTATTTTCCTGCTCCTTTTGCCCCCGTAGGAAGAATATAAACATTTTGCTTACTGTAACACATTGCTTTGTTATGATATATTATTGTTACCATTTTTTTTAAAAAAGAATGTTTCTATGTTTTAATTAAGCTCCTTCATCTAATATGTAATTTTAAAGTTATTATTTCATATAATATCTAACTTGCCACAGTTAGGAACCTGGAGCAGGCTGAACCTTTGGATAAAATGATGCCGTTGTTATGAAAATACAAAAGCATAGACCAGGCGCGGCGGCTTGCACCTGTAATTCTAGCACTTTGGGAAGCCGAGGTGGTTGGATCATTTGAGGTCAGGAGGTCAAAACCAGCCTGGCCAACACAGCAAAACCCCATCTCTACTAAAAATACAAAAATTAGCCTGAAATGGTGGTGGACACCTGTAGTCCCAGCTACTCTGGAGGCTGAGGCAGAAGAATCACTTGAACCCGTAGGTAGAGGTTGCAGTGAGCTGAGATTGCACCACTACACTCCAGCCTGGGCGACAGAGTGAGACTCTGTCTCAAAAAATAATAAATAAATAAATATAAAAAGAAAGAAAACCATAGCTGTAGGCAACTTCAAGCTTATAATTTTGCAGAGCAATAGCAGTAAGATACTCTGTACAAAGTTAAGTCAGGGATTATTGCACATCTCATATGATGAGATTCTTTTTTTAAAAAGTTTTATTTTATTGTCATAAGACAATAAAGTGTCTATAAAATGTCTATATGACAGCACTTTGAATATTGGAGGTCAGTTTTCACGTCCTTCTCCCCAGACAAACCTTTAGTTTGTTACAATAATTTGTAAGGATCTCTGGAATTATGGCATTATTGTTATGTATCTACGTGAACTTACGATAAAGTTTTCCAGACCACAGAGTCTGCCCCAAATTTTGGAGTTTAACTGAACGAAATTAGAATCCAGCTACAAAGTTAAAGAGTAGACCACCTTTACTTCTGACACCCACCACTAGTTCCATATTGCCCCTAATCACCTTCAGATTCCATAATTTACTAGAAATACTCACAGAACTCACTGAAACTTATTATACTCACCGTTTTATTTATTACAGGGGAATGATTCATAAAGTCAGTCAAAGAAAGAGATACATGGTACAGAGTCTGGAAGGGTTCCAAATGGGAGATTTTTGCTGTCTTTAGGATGTATGCCTCTTCTACTACTGATGTGTGACGATATATTTTTGGCCCATTTTGTGTTGGTATAATAGAATACCATACACTGGGTAGTTAATAATGAACAGAAATTGATTTATCACAGTTCTGGAGGCTGGGAAGTCCAAGACCAAGCGACCAGCATCTGGGCCTTCTCAGTATGTTATCCCATGGCAGAAGGTGGAAGGGCAAGAGAGGGAGAGAGAGTAAAAGAGGGACAAGAGGGTCAGTCTACCCCTTTTGTAACAAACTCACTCCCATGATAACAGCGTAGATCCATTCGCTTTGCCCTCATGGACTAATCACCTCTCATTAGGCCCTGCCACTCAACACTCTGGAATTGGATATTTAATTTTTAAATGCACGCTTTTGGGGAGAAGTATTCAAAACATTGCAATGCACAAGAAGTACTATCAAACAGGGAAGCTCTACTGAGCTTCTGTGCTCAAAGATTTTGTTGGAATTTCAATACATAGGCATGATTGATTGATTGATTAATAATATAGCAAGTTGTCCAAAGAGCCCATCATGAATAACAAAGACATTCCTATTACCTGGTGAATTTCCAGTGTTTAGAGGTTACCTCCAAAGAACCAGGTACAAAGACTAGGCCTCTCTTTGAGTGAGGCCAAATTTCTTTCTATGCTGTATCATTTGCTATTTTCTTGGCTCCAAACACTCCAATTTCTTCAACTTACATGAGATATAGTTTCTGAAGTTCAACATGACTTGGATGTGTTTCTCTAGATAATCTCTAATATTTCAATTTCCTCTTTTGAAATATATACTTCCTATTGCTTGTCTTCAGAAGCTATCTCTATATTAAAGTATTAGAACCCCACTAGGAAGTGTAAAATAATACTTTGGGGTCAACCAACTTGGAGAATCCTGACATTTAACAGCTGTTAAAACTTGGAAACATTGTAT